CATGAGACAGTCCCCCACCACAAAGAATTATCTGGCCCCAAACGTCAGTAATACTGAGGTTTGAGAAGCCCTGTTGTATGCACCTCAGTGCATAATGCGCCGGACTGAACACCGCTTGAACATCTCCCATTATGAGTCGCCATTGTATTCTGTGGTTACCTGTCTGTCCCTCCTACTGGGATACAAGCCTGTGGCCCCACTGCTCTAGCCATCTCCTCATCTCCAGTCCCTATTAAGGAATCTAAATGGGATGTGAGCTATCTAGGCAGGGCTGTGGGATTAATGGAATGTGTAACTGTTGTCTGCCCAGTATCCCCAGATAAGCTGTGAATTCTCCGAAGGCAGGAATCATGATAACTTACCACCAGGCACTGAGAAAGGATGGAAGCAGCGTGGGAGGCATGGAAGGTTCAGGGACAGGTGAGAACCTTTGTAGAACCTAAAAGATTCCATGCCTCTGCTGGGTGAGTATGGGCTGATGCCTGTGGCCACACCATGTATGGAAAGGGGGGGAAAAGCCTAAAAACAATTTATATTCTGTGACTCTTTCTAAAAACGGTAGAGTTTGAATCACTAGGTAGAGAAGGCATAACCTCCATCTGTTGGTAAAATGAAATTTAAAAAATAACAAAAGCTAATATTAAAGGAGAGATGAGCTCAGATTGTAGTTGGAAGAGCAAATATACTATAAAGTAAAATCTGTGAAAATTAATAAAAGGGAAACCTCAAGGAAAAACTGGAGTAGAGAAGGCTACCCCTCCTTGTCATTTACCCCAAACAGGAAGACATCAATTACAGAGCCCCACAGGACGTGACTGACTTGTACTCCCAAACAGGAAGTACACCCCCGGAGCCCTCTAGGAGGAGGAACACTTTCTTCCTGCCCATCAACAAACCCCGCTGATGGAAATGCAGGTCAGCCAATGAGGGGCTGTCATCAGCTGAATTCTTTACTATCCTCCAATGAGCTTCCGTTTTTCTCTTGTTAATGACCTTCGTGTCCCACCCTCCTTTTCAGAAAAGCCTTCACAAGGCCTTGGAGTCTCTCTCCGCTTGCTGGATGAGATGCCCGATCCATGGACAGCTTACTAAAGCCAATTAGATTTTCAGATTTACTCAGCTGAATGCTTTTTTGTTTTATTTTGGTTTTTTGTTTGTTGGTTGGTTTAAACAAATCCAAGGGGAAAAATTGCCAAGACAATAAAGAGAAAGCCACGGAGGACAAACGGATGGATGAATAAGGCGCTTTGGCATTTGGTTAAATTTTCCATCTTATCCTAGCATTCTCCTATTATATTCTGATTTGGGTAATATAGAAGGCGTTTGAACCCAAACTACTGAATATAAATCTCTATAAAATTGCAGCTTTGCCATTTTACCTCGTGCCCCACAGAGTTTGGCAAAGAGAGAAAAGGAAGAAAACCAATCACGGTTACAACTGGCGTGTGTCCCAGGTGCACATCCTCACACCACCACCGGCAGGTGCATCGTCTCGTTCCCCATCTAAGGGCTGAGGAATCTGGGTCTCACAGCCAAAGTGCCCCCAGCTCGTATGTGTTTGTGGGAGAGGGTCTGGGTCCAAAGGCAGGTTCTGGATTTTTCCAAAGAAAGCCCTTTTCCCATTCAACTAGAAATTAAACGAACAACCTACTAAACATTTCAGTACAAAGAGGGTTTTTTTTTTATTGACATTGTAAGAAACATCGTTCGTTCTCTTTGTTACAAAAAAGACTAAGTGGTTCTGAAAGCAAATGTAGAGTCCATGGGTGGCGGGGTCGCGGCCCTGGGCTTGAGGTGGGCGAGGGGGCATCGCATGGGCTGCGGGCTGATCCGAGGAAGACCCGGGGCCGGCCACGTCCAAACACTATGTCTACAATACTTAAATGTATTTACATGTGTTTCTCTTAAAAAAAGGATTACACATTTTATTTTTTAAAAAATCTAAAAAAGGTGAAAAAACTGAACTCGTATTTTATCTTACACGTTTGCAGGATACACAACAGTAACTCGTCAGAAGAGGACATCCTCTTATCAGTTTCAGACAACACGGGAAGCCCGGTGACAAGACAGCTCAGACTCCGCTACCATCGTCCTGTGCTCTCGACCGTGGAACGCACGGCCCCCAGCCCTGATCGGGCGACACCAACTGGTCCCTCGCTTTGACAAGATTAACATAAAATAAGGCACATACATCGCAAGAATCAAAACTCTGTAATTCGAGAGGGAGAGGGTGAGCGAATGTGTGAGGAGCAGGGACAGTCTAGTTAGTTATTTAGAAAAAAAAAAAACCAATGGATTGACAAAGACATGTTTCACACAGACGTTAAACAGGGGTACCGTGTATGAGCCTGCATCAAAAACTAGAAAGGGACACTGGTGAGTGGGTGTCATCTCCCTAAACGCAAGGGTTAGAGAGATGGGGAGAAGGCTGGAGGCTGGTCCCATCCTGGGAGATGTCAAGTCTACAGAGATCTCTGTCCACACGGGACACTCCTCAGTGGCCCCAAAAGACCTTTCTTCTACTGAACATCACAACTGGTCATCAGACTCTTGGAAAGGACACTTTTTTCTTCCCTCCCATCCTCTCCTCCATCCTTTTGAGGTTTCCCTTTGAGAGAAGCCAAATATTGAGCTGAAGTAGGAGTGTCTCCTACACCCCTAAAGGCAGGAGCAAGGAAGACAATTATGAAAAGAAAAATATAGGGGGTGACCTGGAGAATCACCAGAAACCAAAGGGAGGCACCAAATGACAACGGTGCTCATCCCTGGAGCCGTCCATCTTTCCGGGGTGGGGGGCAAAGGTGAGATGGGAAATTCTGGTCATTGAGAAATGCAGGTCACATCCAGGAATGCTACTGGGGCAAGGACTCAGATGGAGGAGGACACAGATTGGGCCAAGTTGCAAGAGCATGCCAAGGTAAGACCAGGACCTGGAAAGCATTTTGAGATCATGGAAAAAGGAAGTTCAGGGAATGGATGACTGATTCTGTGATGGGCATGACCTGTTTGAGGAAGACAGAAAAAGCCTTGATTTTCCACTGACAAGTGGCAGAGACTCAACTCGACCAGCTCCGATCACTACTTGCCTTTTGATTTGGGGCTCTGTTCCAAAGCGGATGCATCCTTTGATTTAAAAGAAAGTGCTACATGGGGGGTGGGGGTGGGGATGGAAGGAGAACCTCAGCCTCCCTCTGCTTTCATCTAGTTGAAAGCAAACCCAACTGTCTCAGCCACAAAGTCCCAACGGGCGATTTTACCTCCACACTGAGAGTCTTGGTCCAAACGAGAGAACATAAACATGAGAAAAATGGCTGGTCCTAATATCCTTTCTCCTATCTAATATTTTATTTGATTTTTGTCTCAGACTGATTTAAATGGCAAGAATCAAGAGACAAAAGTCACATCCTAGACTCACGAATTGCTTTGGACAAATCCAACTCCAGGGACAACAGGACAGAATACAGCAGGTAGTCTGAGGTGGCGATGTTTTAGTTGAATAGTTGACATATTTTTAAAAGTAAAAGGCTGTTTAATCCACATACTCTGTGCACACATAGTATGTCTTTTATGTGTAGCAACTGCACACGGGGAGTAGCTGCACTTGTTAAATCTTGGAGTGTTTTAATGCAAAACAAAAGTCCAGATTAAGTCCGCATTAAGGACAAAGTGCACAGAACATTTAACTTCTTAAAAGGATGCATCATATGATAAAGTGTTAAAAAAAAAAGGTATTTACACAGCTTCCCCCCTAATGCTGATACTAAAATTGTTGAAACAATTTATTCCAAATATCTTTGTGAGTTATTTGCTTCCACAGCTAAGACTGATAAATCCCCTACAGTAGGGCACTTAGAATAGAAATATTCCTTCACCATAGTGGAATTAATAGATATTAATGACGTAGCCGGCTGTGGGATTTAATTACCTATATGCTCAGAACCTATAATCAATTCTGTTATCTGTAATAATGGGAGGGGGAAAGAGATGGAACTAAGTAAGAAATAGAGCAAACCCACAAATATTCCCCAAACTAATTCTACCGAATAGCTGGGATCTACAATCTGCCTAACTTCTTGCCAGAACGGATGAAAAGTAACCACGTGTCACCCAGTGCCCCTCCCCTCTCTCCCGGGAGCTGGAACAGCACTGACGTCCAGGAGGTGTGAGAGGAGGCAGAGTGGGTAACTGAGGACTGACCATACGGACGGATCCACCCAAAGCACCTTTGTGAACGGGAGGAAAAATTTCAACCCCAACTGTGAGCAAACCATTTCATCTGCAAGAGCCCTCAGTGTCCACCTGTGTGTGACTGTCTCAAGTATGCCCCGAACTGAACTGGGGGCGAGGGGGCATGCCAAAAATCTGTCATCTCTGCTACAGTGCACCCACAAAAGACCCTCAAACTCACTATCCGTAATCTGATTCTTGTGCCCAACGTGGGAATTGAAAAAGCAAACAAAACAGAACGAAAAACCCCGAAACACAAAAACAAACGTTGCGCGCATGGAAAGGAAACTTTGAAAAGCTGGAGATGTAACCCCTCGGTCACAAGCACACCAACTCCTATTTCCTTTGAGTAACAGGGAAACATGTCAAATCCTTTCATGTGACCTCTCTTCGAAAAGAAAGAGCATGCACGTCACACATTTACACCGGTTTACTAAAAAAAAGGGGTGGGGGCTTACACTTTTTTGTTTTTTTTTTAAAAAGAGGGCATTTCGAGTCTAACAATACTGATTCAAAAACTGAAATGGAAGACAGTTTCTCCCTAGAATACTTTAGGGTTTTTCAGAGTCCTTTTCCATAAAAGGAATATACTTGAAACACATCCCAGTCAGGTGAGATGAGATTGCTAACATACATACAGAACTAAAAACAAAAACCAAAAACCAAAAAACAATAACAAAAAAAACCAAAAACCAAAAACCCGGGTCAATTTCATCTTTTAAACGCCTAAAGGTTCACGTCTCTTGGCAGTCCATTTTCCCTACCACCTACTGCATAACTGCCAGGAATTTGCTTTCCTCCGCGAGGGAAGTCAGCAGCGAGCTCATGTCCCCGATGGCCATGTTGGTGGTGCTCACGGACAGCGGGAGGGACGCTCGTGGCGTCGTGAGGCGGGAGGAGCTATGGGAGAGGTTCTGAATGATGCTCGGGCTCAGGGCTCCCGACATCAGGCTGGCGTGGTCCGCGTCGTCGATGATAGCATCGAAGTCAATCTGCACCCCTTCCAGGTCATGGCTGTCGAGGCTGTCAACTGTGCTGGTCACCTGGTTAGCACCTGGGGAAAGTAATTCCGAGTTTTCGGCGCTGGCCCCCTGGAGCAGGCAGTTGGCTTCCGAAATGGAGAAGGAACCAGTTTTCATGTCTTGCTGACTGAAGCCAACGGTTTGGTCATAGAACTGACCAGAGTAACTCTGCACGTTGGGACAGAGCTGATGGGCTTGCCCTGGCATCTCCATCTTGATGCCGTTCACCCTGCAGGTCTGACTTGTGTCACTGAGCTGTCCCGGCTGCAGAGCCAGGCCGCCCCTCGGCCCAGCCTGGCGCCGGCCGCCCCCGTAGCCGGCCCACGGCTGGTAGCCCCTGACCGCGGCCAAGCCTGGTGGCTGGCTGCCGACGCCGGGAGGCCCTGGCGGGCCGCTCTCCAGGCCCTGGTAGTTGTGGATGTGTGAGGTAGCACTACCCTGCCCTAGCATGTGCTGCCCGGGGCGGCCGGCCCCCTGGTGGTGCACGCTGTCGCCCAGAAGCTGATGAGCCAGGTACCCCTGTCCCACTGGGTCTTGGGTGGGCACCCCGCTCACCGTGCTGCCAGCTGGCTCACTGGGCGCCCCGGGCAGGCCGAAATCGGCCTGGCTCCCGCTCCCTTGCACGGGGGCGCTTTTCAGCTTTGCCGCCTGAATCCCGGCCCCGCAGGCCGCATCCAGCGAGCTGGGGACGCCGGGCTGCCTGGTCAGGCAGTTCCCGTACTGCTGGGCCTTGTAGGTCTGTTCGTGGAAGGCGGCTCCGCTGGGGCCAAGCCCGCCGCTGTGGCTCACCAAGTGCTCCGCGCCACCGAAGGGGCCGCCGTGCTCCCCGAGGGGCGGATACCCCCCAGCGGGGCCGGCCCCACCCCTCAAGGGATTCTGCGGGTGGACGCCCGGGTGGCTGTACATCCCGAAGGCTCGGGCCGGCTGCCCCGCGGGCCGCTGGCCGCACTTCAGCTTGGAGGAGGACAGGTCGGCGCTGCCCGAGCTGACTTCGTTCCACTGAATGGGCAGGTCGGACTTGCTGGCATCAGGGCAGGGCGGCTCCAGCCCGCGGTACTGCTGGCTGGCGTGGCCGGCGGGCAGCCCGAGCGGGTCAAAGTCGCCGGGCCCGGTCCCCAGGCCGAGCCCGTGGGGCACTTTGCTGTCATCGGAGACGGCACTCGGGAAGGGGTGCTCGTACCCCGCCTGGTGCTGGGAATTCAAATACTGCACCACGTCATCGGGCAGCAGGTCCTCATCGGGCAGGCTCACGTCGGGGTCCATGGTCAGGGACTCCAGGGTGACGTTCTCAGTAATGCTCGGGGGACAGGGCGACGAGTGGAAGTGGCGGGCCGGGCCCCCCTCGGGCCGGGTGTAGTTCTGCAGCACGAGGTTCCGCTTTTCCAGGGACGGAGGCAAGGCCGGAGGGTTGAAGCTGTTAAGGCTGCTGAACCGCTGCACCCGGGGCAGGGAGAGGCTCTCGGAGGCCGTCCGCACCGGGTCGCTGGCCCTTCTCAGGCCGTTGCCCGGCGCGTCCTGGGGCAGCAGGGGCCGCCGGCCGTAACCGTGACCGTGCGCCCCGCCGTCGCTGCATCTCCGGGGCGGGTGCACGGGCGGCAGCGTCCCCGCGGGCTCCCTGCCGTCGCCCAGCAGGGCCATGCGGGTCTTGAGGCTCATCCTCTCCATGTTGGGCAGCGGGGTGGGCGGCGGGCCGCCCGTGGCGGCGGCGTACTTGGCCTTCAGGCGGTACTGCTGGGCGGGCGTGAGGCTGAGCAGGCTGGGCAGGCCGTCGCCCTGGCTGGCCTCGCTGGAGCGGCGCGAGGCGTCGGTGGAGATGGGGTCGTACGAGTCGGCCACACTCACGTTCTGGGGCCGCCCCTCGGCCTGGGACGCCTCGCTGGAGCGGCGGCTGGAGAAGCAGGGGGAGATGCCGGAGGAGCGGCGGCTGCTCAGGTAGGCGGAGCTGATGGTGCTGGTGGAGCTGTCCCTCCGGTTGAGCATGTTCAGCATGGTGATGTCCACGCCGGAGAGGTCGCTTCTGCTGGGGAGAAGGGGCGTGGGCCCGCCCAAACTGCAGCTGGTACCCGGCTGCGTGCCTGCGGGGAGAGAGGCGTTCATTCCGGGATGGCTTACCACAGGCGTGGACCAGCAATGACTATTCTCCATTTCTCTGGGTCCCGCCTTGGCCGCCTCCGCCCTGAAGCGCCAAAGCACGCAGGTGGAGTCAGGGGATGGGTGAGGCTGGGTGCTAATAAAACTTTATTGATATAGCAGGTGGCAGGCTGTATGTGGCTGACCCCTGGCTTAAACAAAACAGTAACAACTAACTCCCTGGATGAGTTAAGCTCCTTCACAGGTGTAGTGCAAGGGCCAAATGGAAAACTCCAGGGAAGTATATGTATGGTGCTGAAGTTATAGGAAGTCCAGGGGCTAGAAGTGTTCTCGGAGTCTCATTTCCACACTCGGGGCTGCCTGTGACATCCCACAAAGGTGTCAAGCATATGATTTGGTGGTGGGGAGGTTTACCCTTAGGATATGCTCCAGGTGTGGAGTGTAAGCTCAGAAGCAAAGAAAAACTGCCAATGGGAAAGGCTGCCAGCCTTTCACCGAACTGAGCCAACATCAGTCAGAGTGGTTGGTTTCCTCCTGGTTGCAGACTGGAAACCAGTGACAGGTGCCAACCACAAATGCCTCTGCCACTGGGATTTCATCACCCTGGTCTAAGAGTTATGATTTCACCATCAGAATATGCCATGCACAGTCTTACTTTTTGTTTCACTACTACCCTCTTACTGCCTGCTTTCAAGATATGAACTCTCCAGAAAGGCAACACGAATATGTTTGGTTCCAGCATCATTTCAGGACCGGTGGGGAAACTAGCAAACAAAACCCCAAGGGCCCGGGTCCTCTCCGCGCTCTGGCTTCATCTGAAAGAAGAGAAAAGCCCGCACAGACACGAGGTCTGGCTGGAACTCACCGTTTCCTATGAGAGGAGAGATCGCAGGGGCTTTGGGGGGTAGAATGGGGTTCAGTCGCGGAAGCATTCCGTTCACTTGTTTGAGCCTTTCTAGTTTGACGTGCTCCATCCATTTGGTCCCTGCCGGGTTCCTCCGGACTTGCAAAGCGAGGGCTGTGGTTGCAGTGGAAATGGTCGAGTCCATGACTGGGGTTTCATCGATGGCACTGAGGTCGCCCACACCACCTCCATCGGTCAGAGGAAGCTCGAGCCCACTGTTGGAATAGTTGCTGATGGGGGACTGTTGGCTGCTGCATGAAGACTGACCACCAGGGCTTGGCTGAGATGTCTGTGGGGTCAAGGGCGAAGGAAAGAAACGTCACCCGAGTGATGCAGGCAAGGTGGCCGATGCTGAGGGATCACACAGACTCTCAGGGAGGTGGGGGTGATGAGAAGAACTGTGTTCTGGTGAATGGAGGTGGCCTCCCTGGACTGCAGTGACAGGTGGACCAGCAGTGGATGTGTGGTGGGGGGCAGTGGGCAGCAGGGAGTGACAGATGTGGTGTAACAGCCATGGACCCCCCCCCCAGATGCCAACTCTACAAACACACCTCCTCAGTTCCCAGCTCACCTCCTCCATGACTTTATTCTTTGGGCAAATTCCATAGCCACTCTCAACCTCAGTTTTCTTATCCAAGAAATGGGGACCATGTATTTCTCCTAGGGGTTGTTGTGGGGCTTAGATTTGAAGGCCCCAGAGCACACAAAGTTCAAAAAGCACTGGATAACAGTCATTAATCGGCTTGGAGAGCATTAGCAGTTATTATAAGTGCTTTAGTCTTTGGAATATAAATGTGGTCCAGAAGCACACATGCCCCCACTTCCAACAAGCACCTCTAAATCGTTCAGGGCTGATTCCCCAAGCTCTGGCAACCCTTCCCACTTCTTTCTACATTTTCTTGCTTTGTAGAATTCCAAGCAGGGTGTAGGTAAAGGCAGGGGAAACTGCGGTCACTTGGCTTTTGCTATAGCCAGAGGGGAGTCACCAGGGAAGTGACAGACATCTTCCCAGCCCCTTCATGTGCACCTTGCATTTCATTAGGAGAATCAGGCGCTGCTCCTTAACCCCGCCCAGGCGGACTGGGTAAGGCAATTCTGCAACTCAATGGGAGCTTAATCTAGTCTACTGGTTCTCAGTCAGGGAAAAGACCCCCTCCAGGCGCCCCTGGCAATAGGGACTGGAAAGCTCACTGTCCTCCTGTCTGGGAGAACTGGAAAAAGTGGCCTGCGCTGAGCAGTCCACACAACCTGGAACGCGTCCATCTAAAATCCCAGTGGTGCCCTGGTGGATTAACAGTCTGAGCCTTTTTGTACAGATAAGAAAAGTGATGTTCAGAGAAGTTCAGTGGCTGCCCAAAGTCACATAGTGAATGCTGTGACAGCCTCGACTCCCAGCTCAGCCCCACTCTGATTCTTCTGCGGCACCCTCTCCAGTGCTACCTAAAAACTGGAGCCTGATAGCAGCCCAAGAGCAGGGAGCAATAAGTACACACCTCGAGCCACAGTGCTGCCAGGAAGGGGTTTGGGCACAGGTCTTTCCCCCAGAACCCGTTACACTGTTTCTGTGACCACGGGACATACACTCAAGCAAATGGACACTTTCTAAGCGAGTGCCACATGGTACACTAAGTGTGTCCTGGGCAACCAAGCAGAGAAAAATAAGATACACAAATTTGATTGTAAACGCATGAAAGCTTCCTCAAGGTTTTACTTCTGCAGAGTCCCAGAAGGCCATACCACCTGCTTCTTCCCAAGGTCCTTAGATCATCCAGGGCTTTCAAGATGTCTTGGACTCTTGGACTGTCAAATCAGCACGTGTGTTTGTATATGTCCACACGAACCTGCGGACTCATGCTTCCCCAGGGCCCAGAGGAAGGCACAAATGCACTTAACAGTTAGAAAATGCTTAAAGGACCACAGGCATTTCAATACAGATTAAATTGCCAACAACAAATGCATCCAGATATTCCTCAAAGAGGGTGGTGCACGTCTGGTCCAAGAATAAATTTACGCTCGTCAATACGATAATTAAATGGTCTTTGAGAGCGTCTGCTTGGTCGGCCCCAGTGTGATGTGTTATGAAAACCTAGACAGATAGAACAATGAACTTCACCATCTAACCCCACATTTCCACATGCTGAATGTTCAAAACACACTGCTTCTAGGTTGGAAACACAGCTGAGGGACGTTCACTACCAAAGATACCACAAAGGACAGAAACGAAAGAAAAATGAAACCAATAAACATTAAGTGGTTAAAATGAAGACAAAACAGAACCAAAACAGCACAGAAGGCAAAATTCCCTCACCTTATTACCCACTGTCCTTAGGAAGTGAGAACAAGACATTTAGGAGCATGACACAGAAGAGATGTTGGATTGATAAGAAAAGAGAAGAAAGAATTTAATTTATAGCATGGCGATCAAATCAAAGACAAGCTTTTAAAGTAAGAATATTCGGACTGGAAATCCCGTGCGCATTCGTAAATGTCTATGAAGGTATCAACTGATATTTACGTGTGTGCGTAGATACATAAAACAGCCTCCCGAGGAAGCCTGACTGATTTTCAACCTCACTGAGCCTCAGTTTCCACACCTCTAAAATACAGTCAGGCCTCTGCCTCTGTGATCTCTTTCCAGCCCTGTATTTCTATGATTTGATTACTTATAAAACACTTCGCATGTAGAAATTTTCTTTTTAAATAACGGGTGTTCGGGGCGGGGGGAGATAAGTTTTCGGGTTTTTTGGTTCTTTTTTTTCTTCAAGTGTAGTCGGTTTACAAGGTTGTGTCAATTGCTGGTGTACAGCATACTGTTTCAGTCCTATGCATACAATACATCTGTTTGCTTTCATAGTCTTTTTCATTCTAGGTTACTAAGTTCTCTTGAGTTAGGGATGTATATTAAACGTGCAAGAGACTCTCGGCTGTTAGGATGTCCTAGGAGCACAAACCACTCAATGACACACAGAGACCACAAATTCACTTTCCTAGTTTCATTAAACACTTGAGGGTAAACTGTTGAATCTTTTGCACAATTATTATACAGGGGGACTGTATTTTAGGAAACTGACACATGCTCCTGAAAAACAAAATTATAGATGAACAAAGTATAGTGATCAGTCATAACCCATATATAAACTTTTTACTTTTGTTTTAAAGCAAAACCCTAACCCTAACCCTAACTGTAGCCCTAACTCTTTAAAAAAGCAAAGTACAGCTACCCACTGGGAAATAATGATAAATCTGGACAGTTTATTTGCATTACTTTTTGCTAGACTTAATACCACTTTCTAAGACCGTTAAGAGTTTAATGACAAACTCAGTAAGTCATTAAAATTCAATGAAGTCATTAAATTCCACACCGATGCTTCTGAAACTGTCTGTGCCTTAGTTCCTGCCCACACGTCCTGCCCCACAGTGACATCACTCAGGAATTCACAAGATGTCCATCCAGTTGCTGGACTTTCTAATTTTAAGCAAATACTTCCTTACACTGAGTAGAAATCTGCCTGCCTGATCATTTCCATGCATCTGGAAGTCTAAGCATGCGACCTCGACCTGGTACGTTTCTCCTGCATCCAGAGAACTGAGAGACTAGAACCCAAAACGCAGAGCGGGCTCCACGATCGATCTGCCAAATACACATGTACTCAATCTCCTCTGACGGCTCCTCTTTTCATTTTCCTTGTTGTCTCTGGGGGAAATTTCAGATGTTTTATTACGCACGTGCCTAACACAAAATCACCAAGTGAAGCCGGAAAGAAGCTGCAACCGGAGCCTGTATCCTGTGCGTCATCAAACCCTGAGATGTTTGCCGATGACGTCTTTCAAACCCTCCCGTGCGCTCCACCTCCTTGGTTCAAGCCCCACTGCAGATATGGTTTCCAGGCTCTCGTCCACTCTCTAGGCTGGCATGGGAGTTGTCTTTTCTGAAGATCTAAACGATCCCTTTCTATCTTTTTATTCTGGCACATTCCCCGCGGCTCATGCTTGGCAGCGCTGGGTCCTGCTCCGCAGCACACGCTCCATCCCCCCTCTGAGCGCTGACCCTGGCGGCCACCTCTCCTCGCATCCCGAGGGCACTGGCGGCTAGCTCCCCTCTGAATGCTCCCACACGGACCTGTGTTAATAAAGCCCCGTCACGCTGAGTTGTGCTTGCCTATCCCACTGGACTGGAAACCCCTAAACACGAGAGACCATGGCTGATTTATCTTGGAGTCATCAGGGCAGAGAAGTCAGAAGGACACGTTTCCAGAACACCTGAATAAACAGGGGGATGGCTGTGTCTGTCTACCTGCTGCCAGGCTTCCAGACCGACTTTCAAAACCGACCGGGAAGCCCCTCGGCTTTTCTGAGCTGAGCCCTGTGGTAGGCACAGGTCAGCCCTGGGGAAGCAACCCAGGTCAGTGAGCGCCGACCTCCTTCAAGCAGACAGAGCGGTGCGGTGAGGACGGGGCCGTGCCGCCCCTCCCTGTGCTGCCGCTGGTCCCTCTACTAAAGACGCGGGACAGCCTTGGGAAAGCCGGAAGGAAAGTGGATTACGTACCATAGGCTTCTCCGCCTTGACGGTTTTCGCTTGGAGGCGTTCTTCCCGCTTTGAGGTAGTGTTGCTGAGGTCCTTCTGCTCCCCGAGGGCTCCCTGAGTCTGCCGGCCGGGTGACCGGGACTGTGAGTGGCCCCCGGAGTCCCGCGGGGGCGGGGGCCGGGGGTGCACGTCCCCACGCTGCTTCTTGGTGACGTGAGCCTCTGGGCCGTGCACGGTCTTCACGTGTTTCCGGAGGGAGCTGGGGTCGGTGTAGCGCTTGGTGCAGCCGGGGATCTTGCACACGTACGGTTTCTGCCAAACGCCATGAGAACAGATCATTGTCAACGTGATTATCCCCAGCCCGGGTCTTCTGTGGTTACTCACTGTATTTGTAGTTCTTTCAAAGCACGTTCACAAGGCTTTGGGGTGTTCAAGACCCTCTAAATGATATGAAAGTTTAATAGAGACCGTTAGAACATTGTTCAGGGCTCATGGAATCTAGCTGAAATACGTTATTATTTTAGAGCGTGCTGAGGGAGCACTAAGAGCGTGTAAATCACGTTTATGTTCTTGGAATCATTGATCCTGTGAGCACGAAGAGGTATCACGGCGTCAGAGGGGCGCACAGTAGGTATCTGATGATAAAGATGGTGAAGAGGATGAGGATGGTGATGGTAACAGGAGAAGGCTTAAAGGATGTCCATCATTTAATGAGCAGAATGGGGGACCTTGTGTAAAGAAACTTCCTATGAATGTCCTGGTTCTCAGACCTCACACCACTCTACCTCCTTTGAAAACGTGCTCTCTACACATCAGCATAATTAAAAAACTGCCTACAGCCTCCCCTATGTTAGATATCCCTCAGTATGTTCCTTTGGGTTGTATTACAACTGTGTGGGGATGTTGAGGGCTCAGAATATCCAGAACCTTTCTTTTTTTCCTCTCTCTCTTTTTTTTAATTGAAGTACAGTCAGTTTACAACGTTGCATCAGTTTCTAGTGCACAGCAGAATGATTTAATCGTACATGTACATACATACATTCCTTTTCATATTCTTGTCCATTGTAGGTTACTACAAGGTATTGAATATAGTTCCCTGTGCTCTACATAGAACCTTGCTGTCTATCTATTTTATACACAGTAGGGTGTGTCTGCAAATCTCGAACTCCCAATTTCTCCCTTCCCACTCCCTTTCCCCTGGTAACCATGTTTGCTTCCTGTGTCTGTGAGTCTGTCTCTGTTTCTGATCTGCAAAGCTGGAAGCCCTGTTAGGGTGTCCGCGAGTGCTCACTCGTAAACTGACGAGGGCTGATGCGTGCTGTCCCGGAGACGAGGATTCCCGGACTGGGCTCTGCGCCTGAGGACTCAGCTCTATAGATGATTTCATGCTGATTTCATTTGCTACCTGGGTCAGTGATTAAGCTACAGATACAGTCATATAAATTTATACGGACCCTTATAGCTGAATATTTACTCAGATCACAGAACTGCTGGCATCGTGTTCGTGACCAACATCCGAACTGTGGTTTTGTTTATTTAGCTTGAAATACATTCATGGATATGCTTATATGAATATGTATTTCTATCTATGTATCCCAGAAGATGAGCTATTAAGTAAACAATCATCATAAAAAGCATGATTAATGTAATGCATCTACTGTATTAAAATAAAAGACTCCCTGTCTTACAGAGCGATGCTTTTTCACTAAAAGCCCGAGAATGAACTGAGTGCTACCGAAAATGATGAAATGCCCTAATGTGGTGAAGTGAAGATCCCGAAGATTATCCTGAGAGACTTCACCTCCAAATATGAGATTCCTCCGGGTAGAATTGATTCCCATTAACTACGAATTACGTCTATTCTGGAGCTTATGTGATTTGCCGCATATATATGTGATGAAATGAGCACCTCAAATTCTATGCATTAGGGATAGAAGAATGGCTCTGATGATCCGTGCTGTTACCACACAGCGTCCGGCATCAGCCCGGGCTGGCCGACTGCGCTGATGCGACAGGCTGTTCCGCCGGCGGACAGACGGGAAGGTATGGGGCAGGGAGAGGGATGGCAAAGCCAGGCCAGCTTGACATTTTGAAGAGCTCCTCTTCCCGTAAAGACATGCACGTGTATAGTATGGGTTAGCTTGGAAACAAGGACACAGCTAGTCTACCTACTCATTTCATCAGCTCCTGCATTTCCAGGACCGACAGCACATCCGAGGACACGTGTGCCCTTGCATGTGGACATATATACCATCCACTTACAAAAATCCCCACGACCACAGGGGCAGGAAACTTACATTTCACAAACAAAACTTAGTTACGTAGCTTGGTCCCCCCAGTTTTGTCATGATCGATGATGGAAATGAAATATAACTGTAGGTGAAGGTAAGTGGTGTCAGGATTCTGAGTTACCCCCGTGTCCTGTCCTGGACAGTCAAGTTTTGGCATGGTCGTTGCCTTTTTGACCCTGAACTGAAAGGTATCTTGTGAAAGCAGGTGATACTTATTCTAGGTGACTCTGTAGAATTTACACAAATGCATTTTCCAATAAACATTTAATGATCCCTGCTATACGTGAGACTCCGTGAGCGCAAAGTTTCCTACGACAGGATTAAATCTCAAGGAATATAAAAGACGGTAGGAAAAATAAGACAGCATGAATTATCTACTATACAAAGTGTGAGTGCTCCAGAAAGATGTGGACAGAGAGGGACATTTTTCTCACTGGGGTGACAGTGTGAGGCTATCCGTTGTTAAATTTCTCTATCTGGGTATAACGCCCAGCTCATGAGGTCACAGTATGGGCTAAAGAAGGTCATGTACAGCATGTCAATGCTTACCACGATGTATGTGGGGCACAAAATAATTGCTCAAGAAATAGAGCTTTGATTAGGAAGAGACCCTGGATCCTGAAAGATGAACAAGGTTCTGAGGGATAAAAATGAGGGTAAGAGGATGCAAAAATAAAAAAAAAAGTATTCAGAGCAGAGGCCCAGCAGCAGGAGAGCTTCTGCATGAAAGCATGGCAGTTCAAGCACGGGCTTTCTGGAAGGTTCCATGCATGGTCACAAGGCTGAGGGGTCCAGGGAATGGGGAAAGGGGAGGCTTGGGTCTGGTGAGAGCAGATACAAGCCTGAGGGATCTAAACTTTTCTACAGGAACGAGGGGGCTGCTGGAACTTTCTGGAGAGGAAGATACAATGGAAACAGAGCTCAGGGCAACTGGCTTCATCTGGCTTTGGGAGGAAGGGAAGACGTGTGGTCTGGAGCAGGCAGCCCTGTCAAAGGCCACTGAGATGGCCAGTGGCCCTAAATGGGCAGGGCAACCACAGGGTGGGGGAGGCGAGACAGGCCAGCTTCCCGAGTGGGAATTACCCGCTCCGGGTTCTAGCCCACCCCCTCTGTCACGTCTACAATAGCAAAGTGCTTGGCAGGTAACAGCCAGCAGTATCTGTTCAGTGACAGAATGAAGAGAGAAATAAGAGGGCAAATAAGTGACAGAAGAGAATCTGGATTTATCTAGAATTATCTGATGACACAAATCTGGATTTCCTGGACATACTTAATTTTGGTGTCTCTGAAACTATCCCATCATTCATATGCAAGGCCAAGGCCTTTCTCTTTATGAAAGTGAGAAAAAATTTTTACGAGTTTGTGAGACAAATTTTTTTTATGAGTTTACGGTCAACATTAATAATTTATTTTCAGTAAACTGCTCAACATCGGTGACAACATAATTGACCAAGATGTGTTTTACTCTCACGATGGGTATTAAACTCGTACACAGCATTGGACTTTTTACCTCACAGGAGAATTCAAATGCAACTATAACACATTTCATTAAAGCAGACATGTCCACATATTTTAAGTCTATAAAAAGGTTAAAAGCTTCATAATTATGTTTATGGACATACATCACTAATCCTCACATACCCACTGCCCAAATTTCTCCACAAGCACAGGAGTGAATGTAGAGGAATGAAGAACCTCTAAATTTCTAGTTGTTCTTAAATACATGGAGTGTAAAGACATTAATTAAATTCTAAGTGAGGTTAACCAAATCCCCTAAAACATTTCAAACTGAGATACAGTTTGCATCCCAGAAATACAACCCTTTTAAATTGCACAATTCCGTGGCATTTCGTACACTCACAACCTTGTGCAATCGTCCCCACTATCAAATTCCAGAATATTTTCATCATCCCAAACAGAAACTCTGTTCCTCTTAGCAATCGCCCCTAATCCTTCTCCTCAACCCCCGCCTCTGGCAACTACTCAACTACTTCTGTCTCTGTTGGTCCATCTATCTTAGACTCCCTAAAACTTTGCACAAAACAGTACAGCAGCTTACACTGCAACTATTTTACATCGTAAAGGCATTTTCGACATAAAAAAAGGCGATGTGCCATCTTCTCTAAAACACCTTCCAATAATCGATCTACTGATTCTACGTGATTCTAACAGAATCAACTCTCCTTATTCCACTATGAATCTTTTGAAAAGAGTCTGTATATATGAACGCACATGTGTGAGTTCACGGGCCAGTGTGCTTTTCAGAGAGTGGGGTCAATCCCTTTGAGATGTTTCTGCTGTCAGCTCAGCTGAAGGGACTCTCATCTCTCCCACCTTCAAGCCAAAGAAAGGCCCATGAGCTGGATGGTGCACTTCCCTCAGATTCCCTCTCTCTCCATCTGAGATCATGAAAGGGCTTGCCTGGCACCTTATGGGGTCTGATAAGAGCCATGCAAGCTCAAAATGCTCCTCCTCTCACACACTGTCCAGCAAACTGATGACAGGCTTTGTGGGGCAAAACTACGTCTCATGTGAACAAATTCTGGTTAGCTGGCCTATTCCTAGCAAAACTCTGGGGAGCCTCTTTGCTCATTTCTGGATTCTTTACTGAGGCGCCAGAATTTGAGGTAGATTTTTAAGAAGTCGGAGGTCTGCAGGCAGGCGTGTATTAAAACGTAAGCAAAATGAGTCAGAGATCATTTCCATTCTTATGCTTCTCTGAAATTTTTTTTGGGGGGGGGGAACAAATCCGTGAAAAGAGCAGCAGCACAACCAGAACCACGTATGACCATGGAGCGAGCTTTACTCGGCATGTTATCTTAAATAACTGACTAGACACCATTCCGGGTTTCTGGGACTAGCTTCCAAGATCCTTTGGCATTTAGAAGGTCTGGAAATCCTATTTAGCCAAGGCTGGTTGCCCTGCAAAAGTCCCTTTTTGATCTAACGCGCTTGAGGATACCACCTGGAGAAAGCCAACGAGAGCGGCTGTCTTAGCAGTAAGCTGCCAGCTGTCAACGCCTCGCTTCTGAATTTAACCTCGGTGCTTTCGGGGCGGTCCATCGAATGCATTCCCGCTCTTCCAGGCAGAGGAAGCTGATGGGGATTCCAAGTTGAATGCTGCTGCTGTCTGACCGGTAGGGGCAGTTCTGCATAATGTATTACTTCCCCTCCTTCATCTGCCTCTTTCTCCAAACCTGGCCCAGGATTCATCCCTACCTCTGAGACCCCAAGCCTCAATCTTCACCCCCAGGACTACGCAGGCTGGGAGTGGCCGGGAGCAAGTACATTGGGACCGGCCCGCCTCTCCACATACGTTCCTTCTAGAGGGTTCTTTGTTTCCACCCACCAGCCCTGGGCCCGACGCGTGTCCCCCCAAGGAGCCTCACCTCATTGGAGTGTGTTCTGTTCTGGTGCTTGGCACGGTCAGAGGCGTTGGAGAAAGCCTTGTTACAGCCTTCGTGCTCACAGACATACGGTTTCTCTCCAGTGTGAGATCTCAAGTGTGTTTTCAAGTTTTCGAGTCTCGAGTAGGCCTTTGTGCAACCTTCAAACTGAGGACAACAGGTAAATCTGGATTACCCCACAACAATGATCGCTGATGCCGAACGCTCGCTTGGAGCTGATGAAAGACGGCCATTTTGAGGGTCAGCAGCTTTTCAAAACCAAGGAACAAAAAGTCCACTAAACTCTGCCTTTATTGGGATTCAGATGGGGCTCAGGGCCATTGGAGAGAAAGCGTTTTCAGGGCTAGTAAAAATCCTGGAGGGTTTTTTTTTAATAGGCCACTCCATGTGGACAATGCGTTTCATTTTCTGCTCATTCATCTCCTCGAATTCCCACTGATTTCAGATTCAGCACAAAGTTCATTAATATGGCTTTGTGTCCATACAAAGGCACAGCATTTGATCATGTTTGTAAAGGGCCTTTAAGATGTAAAGTACCAGGGCTGAGCGGTGCCCAGCGTGCCTGGCGGGCACCTTAGGGAAAGAAGGCTTAGCCTTGCAGGAATCCCAGCCTGCTTGGAGGTCTACACAGGACTATACGGGGGCAGACCAGGACAGCGGGGAAATACTGAAGCCACATGGGTTAGATTTTTTGAAACTCAATCTAAGCTTTTCAAGTGGAAACCGGCCCCTCCCTGTGCCCTCCGAGTCCTCTGGAGCAACAGGCGTTTGCACCAGGGCACATCCCAGCTGCCACCTGCCCGCCTGCCGCTCTCCAGAGCTGGGCTGTCAGACTCAGATGCTGCTAGCCACGTGGGGCTATTTAAATTTAAATTTTCAAAATGAAATTCAATTGAAAACATCAGGTCCTTGATGGCTCCAGTCACGTCTCCAAAGCACCCGTGGCTCACGGCTACCACGTTGGACGTGGCAGATCTAGGCCACTTCCTCCCAGCATCCCCCCAAAGCTCAGCGGTCAGCATTATTTCTCCATTTCGGAAACCCCTCTCAACGCCACAGGGGGGTTATCACCGCCCAGATGTGCCTCTGCTGAGCTGGCTCACCAGCCACACGGCCCTTGGAGTTGGGGGAAGGACCCTCAGGGGCAGGGCGCACCGCCTGTGGCCAGCCCGCCCCCCGGTACTCACAGTGCATTTGTGAGGTTTCTCTCCCGTGTGTCTCCTCATGTGCACCACCAGCATGTACTGGGCTTTGAAGGGCTTCTGCTCTCTTGAGCAATCCAGCCACCGGCACACGAACTCCTTCTTCTCGCCATGGATATGGTCGTTATTTATATGCTGGGGTTTGGAAAAAGGAAGAGAGGAAATAGAATGGAAATGTACTCCTCTTTTCCGCAGGCAACAGAAAGGAGAACCCCAAATATCCCAACTTTAAGTCCGGAAGACCCCGCGATGCTGTTCCTATACTGTAGATGATTCTGCCTTTGTTAGTGCTAGTTCTTCAGTAAATGTGCTCTGACAGATCGGGGAGGTGCATATCCTAACTAGCAGAGGGACACGGCTTGGATGAAGCCCGGGGTCCCCGAAAAAGTGCTGCAGGGGCACCTGAGGGGCGGAGCTGTGAGGTGAGGTGCGCCACGCGTGTCCTGTCTGGGCCTCTGTTACCCTTCACCTGCCAAGTCAGGGTCAAGGTGAACCGATCACAGAGGTGACCTCCAGCTCTCACGCCCTCCAGGCCTGGGGTAGCACCTCGGGCTAGTGCCGGGCCTCAGATTGCACAAAGGGCACACGTGCACGCGCGTGCGCGTGCGCGCGCGCACACACACACACACACACACACATCTGTAACAAGGAGCTAGAAAACACCAAAGCACTTTTTCCAATGACACTTTAGTCCCAATAATTAGTGACATCGCTTCTTGGATGAGAATCACAGAGAAATGCACCGGAAACTGGAGACACAGACCAGGCAATCTTGGCTGTCCTCACGTATAACAGAAAGGAAAGGCCGACTGAGGTACTTTCCAGCCCTACCAGTCTGTTAGTTGGATTTTTTTAAGTGAAGGGGAATTTCCCTAGATTCTTCATCAGTTCAAAGGTTTAGAATCACTTTTTATGTAGTTCCTTGGATTCATACACCCGGTGTCCTCCAACAGGGAGACGTGAGAAACTTATAGGGGCGCCAGTGGAAGAGGTGAGTCTCCATTTGAACCAAATTGAAGTCAACTCCAGGAGGATGAGTATGTGGTTTTAACGTCCCGTTGTGGATGATGGGGGAAATCTGTGTCCTGTGTTTATCCTGTTGGGCTGACTGGCCACTCCGCACTCTATCGGCCTAAATGCAAAGTCTCTGTGAGCCTTTTCTCAAACATCCGTAGAAACACATCACTAGTAAGCATGTGCAGTAAGAGGAAGCTCCCCCCCGGTTCCCTGGGCTGCGCAGCAGTGACACAGCGTTTAATTACTCTCCTGCTGGGCTCTGGCTCCTAAGTGAGTGGTCGCTGGGGTCCTGAGGGTACAATTCCACCGTTAAAGTCACAGGCTGTTCCCAGCTATTCCACTAGGCGGCTGGATGCTGCAGGGAAAAAGAAAAGCAGTCTGCTGTGCTGCTTCTGGGGTTTAACACTGAATGAGGGCAGAGAAAAGCGCTTATGGTGCCCTCTCTTCTCCTGGAACAGCTCTCAGAAAGCCCGCGGGTCGGAGAGCGTGGGGGACACAGCCCAGGGCGCAGGCAGACACCCCGGGTCCTTTCAGGAGCTCTGATCACGACGAGGAGACCACACAGAACCATCCGGCTCACGACGGCGGCGCAAGCCCACGGCAAACATGTGCACTTCGTCCCCAAAGCCAACTGCCCGAAGCATAAGTGTTTCTTAAAAGGGATGCTGGGGCACGAGAGTGGAGGAGGGGAACAGATGTGCCGGCCCGGGGACCGCATGCAGTCTTTAAATGCCTGCGTGGAGAACAGGTCTGCAGTCCTTCCACGGAGCCCAGGGTGGCCCCAGGGGACGCGGAAGCCCAGTCTTCAAGCCCACATAATACAGAGAGGTTCTACGAATTCTCCTTTCCAGGGAACAGAAAATGAATGATCGCACAAATCCACTCCATAAAAATTGCTCTTGGTTCCGTGTTTTTTTTCCCCCAAGTTATTAGACATTGAGCTCCTGGGACTGATCCACGAAAGAAAAAGAAGGAAGGATGGGAGGGAGGAAACGAGGAAGCGAGGAAGGAGGCAGGCAAAGTTAAAATTGGAAAACTGCCTTAGAATGTGGGTTGAGTCGACTTCCTTGAGCCAGGACCCACGTCTCTGGGTTCTCCATGCTCAGCCACCGACAGGTGGCCCTGGTACTTGGCAGGCCCTTCGTAAGTATCTGTTGGATTGACTGGCTTCTGTGATAAACTGAAGTGTCACTGAAATTATACCTGATGCTCTGCCCTTCTGACTTCAACTGCCTTTTACCTGGTACCCATCCAATAAGATTATAACGCAAGGTGTTATATTACTTTAAAATAATATATTATCAAGAAGTCAAAAGGATTTGAAAGAGAGCCACATGCAAACCCTGTCTTGCTGGGGGGAATATAAGAGGGGCTCTGGGACTGCAACATTTCGTGCATCACCCATGTATTTATACGGACGCGCTGAGGACCATCCCACGCCAAGCCCTGGGCTGGAGAATCAGACAGACAGGATTCCTGCCCTGAGGAAATGACAGTCTACTGAAGGGAAACAGATAATGACTTAAATGTCTGTGCAATGACAGTTGTGGTCAGCGTTCTTAAGAGAACCAGGAGGGTGTTATAAACACAGTTCATAGGGGGTCCCAAATCTGCGGGGAGCACCAGAGACCATGGTCAGCTTCTCCAGAGAAGTGGCATTGAAAGTAGGACCTGAGGGATGGGGGGAGACCTGGCAGGTGTGCAGGTGAGGATGGGAATGGGGAGAAAGATGGACAGAAGCCCCCAGAGAAGGACAGAGTTGGTGCCTTAGAGGAACAGGGGGAGGAACATGCAGGGCAGGAGAGACTGGGCCAGGCAGATGCAGGTGCCTCCCAGCACTGCCCTGTTGGACACAGGATGAAGGCACCAGTTCCCAGGCACCCAGCAGTACCGCCGAGGTAGCCAAGCCTGGGGCCATGTAGGAAGCAGTGTGCCGGGTCCGGTGGGCTAGACCCTGGGACAGAACTCGAGTACACGCCATCAGAAAGCCAGCACTTGGACGCCTGCCCCAGGAGAACTGGCGTTACTCAGGGGAACGAGGATGGCCAACAGTGAAGGCGCCAGCAGCAGCTGGTGAAGTAGCGGCCTCTTGCCTCTTGCCCTTCCCGTTATGCTGGAGGAGCCAGAGTCCGGGGGTGCGGAGAGGGAAGGGGCCCCCTCCTCTAGGTGGGTGGGCTGGCAGAGGATGAGAAAGCAGCCCGCCAGCCCCCTAGAGCGGTGAGCCTGGCCGGTATAAGGGACGGAAGGCTCTGAGTGGACAGGAGGTGGGAGGTTTAAACCAGATGGGACTTGAGTAGCAAAAAGCGACTGGGAAGTTGTGAAAGCTGCCCGCCAGGATGCTGACAGATCCACCACGAAGCTGGGAGGCGAGAACGGACCACGGGCTGCTGAGGGCTGGGACTGAAAGTCAAATTCTCATATGAATACCTGGCCAGGTCTCATCAGCCTTGGCCTCTGGGACAATGTCTGAAAATCCTAGTGGCGGGAATCCAGTGCCAATCAGTAAACACAACACCCAGCGTCGTCTCCAGATGGGGACAGTGGAAGCAACTTCACTTTCAGCAAGGTTGGCCTTTTGGGACTGTTCCCTTCTGCTTTGGTGAGGAGACCTACGTCCTGTCTAAGAAGCTTTTGTCATTTTCTAAAACTACTCTTGAGGGCCAGCTTGGATTGAGACCACAAGTTATTTTTCTTGCAATGAGATTCTCTGACCTCGGCCAGCAGCGACCTGGTCCACCTTGCTTGTCTGTAGGGTCCGGATGCTGAGCACAGGACATAATCAATTACTCTAGAGAAACAGAAATCTCCCTGCCTATTCAGGTAATTCAAATGCATTTTGAGCTGATATGTCCTAGATATCAGGTGAAACTTAAAATTCTAAGAAATCATAGGCTTTCCCTGTCCATGTATCCTAAATATTTACTCTGCTTTAAAAAGCTGCTCTGGCTTCTGCGGCCAGTGCTCATCTAAGGGCAGATCTTCCATCACAGAGGAAAGAGCATGGGGGCGGGGGGCAGGAGGAAGCATCCCAGACCAAGTTCTGATGAGCTGTGTACCTTCAGACAGGTCAGTTCACCTTTTGGGACCTTAATTTTCTCATCTGTAAAATTAGGGCGTGATGAACAATGTCAGGTGTCCACAAACATTTTCTGTAAAAAAGCCGGAGAGTAAATATTTGGCGATTTGCAGGCCAAGAAGTGTCCCCAGGGCTCCTCACCTCTGTCGCGTTTCAGGAGAACAGCGTGAACCACACGTATGTGAATGGGTACCGCCGTTGGTTTACAGACACTGAAATAGACACGTGTCCTGAAATTTTCATATTCTTTACAAGTTTTTTTCCCCAATTATTTAAAACTGTCAAATCCTAGCTCCTTGGCTGGACAAACGCAAGCAGTAGCCAGATTTGGCCTGCAGGCCATTCGTTTGCTCTCCCCTGAACTGGATGACTTCAAAGTTTCCTTCCTGGGCTAACAGAGCTGTTGACATTCCCGGGAAGGCTGGCTCCTGGGCCCGAGGAAGCAAAATTAGAAGAGGGTATGTTTCAGCGCCAGAGAAAAGAGGAGGCAGTAGGAAAGAAAAACAGTCAGGGTCCTAGGCTAACGCGAGGGGAGGGAGCTGGCCAGACAGACATCCCACTCTGTGCCCTGCTTCTGGGTCTGGGTGGACCAAAACCTTTGGCAGCTAAGAAGAGTAATACACAGTGAATTCTTAGCACTCAACAGACAGGCTGATCCCGTGGGAGGCTGGCCTGAAATCCAATGGGTCTGAGTTTATTTGTGGTTTCATTGAAAATTTGACTTCCTAGCAGTGAAAACGTTAATCAAATGTATAAATAATTTAATTGGAGGGGAAAAATAATGCATGATTAAATTCCAAACTAATCCAACACAAAGACATGTAATTTGCCAGAGGCCCACGAGCCAGAAAGAGATAGATGGTGTAAATTACGGCATGGGCATGCCAACTCTCTCGGTGGGACCACTGCGGACTCTCCCCGTCTGAATAAACAGGACGAGAGGCCAGGACCAGGTGATCCCAGAAAGGCGGAGTCCAACCACTGAGCTTCCTGATGGACTGGGATGGTAAGCATCTGCCTCAGGAAACGGATGGAACAAATA